TCAGGAATGTCAAGTCAGGCTTGATTTCCCTGGTGCAAATCCATTTTTGACCATGGATTCCAGTACAGTGGCATTTCTATCCCAAATACGGGAAATGTTTTCCCAGATTAGTTTCTCCATCACCTTCACAGGGATCAAGGCAAGGCCAATTGACCTGTAGTTGTCCAGATTTGCTCTGTTCCAGTCATCAGGAATCTTCCCAAATTGCCATGAGCTTTCAAAGATAATTGAAAGTCATCTTGCACTGGTGTTTGCCAGCTCCCTCAGCACTTGACAGGTGCAAACCATCAACCCTGTGAGTTTATATATATCCAATATGTTTAAATGTTCCCTGACTTAATCCTTATCCACCCCAGGGTCTGTGTTCCTTGTGCCACTTCTCACTGCTCCTAGGGGCCTGTCATTCCTGAAGGCTGGTCCCACAAGTAAAGATGGCATTGAGTACATTGGCTTTTTTGATGTACTTCGTCACTACAGCCTGTTACCCATTCAGTAGCAGGCCCATATTTTTCCCCAGTCTTCCTCTTAGCATAAATGTAGAGCTCTTCTTCTTGTCCTTTATGCAGATACATCCTCAGGTGGGCTTTGGCATTCCTAACACCACCTCTGCATGCCAGTGTCTCTTGCTGATTATAGCAATTTTCTTCTCTGCTGTTTTGAGGAGCCTGGGCCAGGTCTGCAGTGGAGCTACTATACTGTTTTTTACTGTTTGAGCATCCAAACCACTCCTGCTACACTCACACATTAGACACTGGCTGGGGTGTGCACTGGTATTTGTGCTCTGTGCTCAGATTTGGGTAACACGTGCAGCTTTTCTTGATGACCTGCTACAAACTTTTACACTTATGCAACATAGCTTTTAAATTCGTACTTGTAGCTTTTGTTACAGGTGTAAATAACTTCTGAGAAACAAATCTTTAGGTAGCACCATAGCTCTTCTAGGTCTCCCTGACAAGAAATACATGAACCTGTGCAGTGTGGGACTTGTGCATCTGTACAGAGCATGATCTGTGTATGCCCAATGGGGCTGCCACATCCCAAGCATAATGCACTTATAACTAGAACATATAATTTGTACAATCACAGTGCCCCTTTCACACTTGGGCAGGATTATTGTGCAAATAGAAAAGGGACATATCTAGATAATTTCTGATGTAGAGAAGCTCCAGTCATGAGGAATCTGAAATACAGAGCTTGGGATCTGTCCTTTAACAACAGTAATGTTTGTCACTCACCTTGATGCCAGTAGGAAGAAGCTATAATAGCCAATACTGTGTTGATTTCAATGTAATATACCCAGTGTGATCCCCTGAATGTCAGAGCTGTCATGGTTGAAGCTGAAACCAGGACAGAGCTAAAAAAAATACATCTCCTTTTAAGGTCTTTTATGTGCTGGATTTGGAGGGAAGCAGTTGTGTTATTGCAGAAAATAATAACTTGATAATGATCAGAGTTTATAAGGTCTGAGCACAATGACCTTTACCTGCTTATGAATGACTCAGAACAGTGTTGAAAAATTGAAGTGCTTGGCAGTGATTTCTGAGCATTTATTAAGGCAAATCAGATAATTGCATTTAACATCACAGATGGCTTGTATTTTTTAAAGTGCTTTTACTTTGGAGCAATAAGATGACTCAGAAGCTCAGTAGGATATTATGGCCCTGATTTTTCATTGCCTCACACCTCATATAGTGAAATTCCCAGTGCAGAGGAGGTGGAGGTCCACTTTTGCAGGATTTTATGCTTTTACTGTGCAAAAATCAACTGCTAGGAGCAGTGCAAAGCTGCTTTTTCTTATGCTACTTTTCCTTATGAGATCATAACTTTATGTTTTACCTTTGTACATTACATGCTTTTACTGCCTGTAGGGACAAGGGAATTTATAACAATTTAGCAGAACATTAAATTGTCTCTGGCATCCTGAAAAAACCACCTCTTCCACATTCCTAAAAATCTTTCAATTATTTCTGAACAGGCTATTTTGGTTTGCTTTTTAATAGAAAGGGAATTCCACAATAATTCAGAGCACTGCTCCATATGGAGAAACATAATGTCTGCTATTTCTTGGCAAAGGAGCAGCAGCATAGGTCTGTTTCCATCTCACTGAACTTTAGCTACAAAAGCATCAAGCACTCAATAAAGCTGCATTCCTAGAAGACACCAAAGGGAGGAAAAGCAGCATTTTTTTGAATGCTGTCTTTTGAATTTACTTGCCTTCAGCAGCCCAGGTGACCAATGAGCTTAAACATGTAGCTCACAGGGGACTAGGTTCAAAGAGAGAAATCTTACTTTCACTTCCTACTCACTTAATTTCATTTGTCCTTGAACAGAAATGATCACAAATAGAATGTGAGCACATACATCTCTGGAACCCCAAACTTAAAGCTAGGGTTATTTCCTGGGAAGCTTTTTTTTGCCATAATTGGAACATAGGAGAACTTCAGAGATGGTGAAATCTGCCATTTGTAACAGCATCAAAAATCTATAGTATTCTGCAATGAGGCACTTTTGCATGCCAAGAAACGTCACTCCAGAAACAGCATTTCCCAGAGAATCTGAAATAGGTCTCTGCTGGAGTGATGACAAAGAACCAATAGTTTCTCTTGCAGACATTTTCAGCACCATGCAATGATCCCAGTCCAAGCTAACAATAAAGTTTGCAGCTGGTATAGACCTCTGACATGTAAGCTGAGGGACCAGAAGCACTGGCTGTAGGCAAGGCTGTGAATTATAAACCATGGAGTATAAGCATGCTCAGGTTTTGTCTATGCAAATGCATAGCTGGAGCTGCTGGTGCTGTGGGGATACATCAGCTGGAATGACAATAAGTAATTAACAGTCTGTCCAGCCACTCTGCTAATCTAATCACTCAGCACTGCTAATCAAATCACTCCAGTAGCTGGAGTGGTGCTTCCTGAATGCCAGTGCTCCCTAAAGCTAGGCTAAGTACAAATGAAGTCATTCAGGTGTATTAAGTTAAACTAATGATTGCAAATGAAGACAAGCTTTCAGAGTACCAAGTCCTCAATTCCTACTTTCTCACACACACAAAGCATCATGCCAGGAAAGTAGATGGAGTTGATTTAGATTAGGTTGGCATAGAAGGTAGAGGAGGATTCAAGTGAAGTATCTAGAGCAGGTTAGTTGACCCACAGCTCAGGAGAGCAAAAATCTCTGTTCACACTGGCTGAATTGGCTGTACATGGGTCTTGCTGTCAGTTCCAAGGCTAGGTCAGACTGCTGGGGTGACCTAAATAACCCAAATAATGCCCTCTGATACTTATTTTCCTGTTCTAGCGGGAGAAAAGAGTGCCTTGGGGAACAGCACATAGCCGTGTGACCAGCTTAGGCACTGCTGGTGTCTGGGCAGGAATTGGGATGTGAGAGGTGTTGGTTTCTGGGGAGGAAGTGCACCTTTCCTATTATTGCCCAACAGCAGAAGCAACAAACCCAGCTCACCAAGGCCCTTTGGAGCTGTCCCTCCAGCTCTCTGGCCCCTTTTCAAGATTCCCTGTGTCCAAAGATGCCTGCTGTCTCTGTCCCCAAGATTATGCGGAGGTGAACATGATCTATTTGGGGACAGGGGAGGATGTTCCTTCAGTGCTGTTAGTGAGAGAACATGAAGTTCTTCCATTTCCATCTGTATGACTGTGAAACCTCCTGCAATCCCCTTACATTTTTCTTCCTTAGCCCAGCATTTTATGGTAACTGCAAAACTCCATTCTATTGTGAAGTTGGATTTTGCCATCCTAAAGATAAGCAGAAAATAAGTTTTAAGTTATTTTGTGCCCGTCTTGGCAAGTGGTTTTGTGTGAGCTGCTGAAAAGCCTTGAGGGAGAGGACGGGGAGGGGAGATCATGGAAGACAGCAATGCTAAGCAGCATTGCAGGGAGATCACAGAAGACAGCAGTGCCAAGCAGCACTGCAGGCTGAGTACATTACTTAAGTGCCCTTGCAGACGTTATGCAGCTGTACCAAAGCCAGTGAAGGTGTCCCCAAGTGCCCTCCTCTGACACATTGCAATGGAGAAGGTCTGAAACATGCAGTAAGCCCAGAAATTCAAGTAGTGTTTGTGACTGGTGTGTAGAGGTTCCAGCATCAACTCAGCTGTCTAAACACAAGTGTTTGGTGTCCTTTGAGATTCTTTCAGTGACATCAATGACTATAGACTATGACTATGTGGTAGACTTTTCCATCACAGTCCAGTGTCCTACTGAGCAGCAGAAGCTGTGTGACTGTCGTCCTCTTGGGCCCTGGGGCAGGGGCCATGCCCAGCAGCTCTGTACTTCCCATTTGTTGTCCCAGCTGCACAGAAATGCCTGCCAGGAACAACAGAGAGCTGGGAACTGCTCAGTTCTCTCCTCCTTGATCCCGTGTGGAAGGTGCTGGTGGCCTTCAGAAGGTTCTGGTGGCCTTCAGGGAGTCACGCAGTGCTCCTCCCAGCACACAGGACAGCGGGGCTGGAGGCCGTGCATTCAGTGCATTCAGTGCATTCAGTGCAATCAGTGCATTCAGTGCATTCAGTGCATTCAGTGCAATCAGTGTGGGGCCACAGCCAGACCCGCTGCAGGCCACGGTGCACAGGGACACACTTCTGACCCATGCTCTGCCCTGATGAGCACAGCTTGCGTGCAGACCAGGAATGAACTGCAGCCATCCATGTGGGTGCTCTTGGTTCAACTCACATAGCTGAAGGAATAGTAGCCTGAGCTGGTGTTACATTACTGATACGATTTTTGAGGACAGTAGGCAACCATGCTCTGAGCCTAACAGCTTTCACAGCATTATTTGTTGAGGATAATAGGCAAAAAGAGTCTTCAGCTTTGTGTCTTACAGGTGAGAAATCTGTGTTTTCTCCACAAGACTGTTACTGCAGGTTATTTTTAGCAATGTCAGTTATAATGACTTCATTATTTTTAACACACAGGAAGAAAGCAAAGAACAATCTTTTAGTTATGCTTTTATTTTTTCCACTTTATTGCCTTTTTCTACTAGTTTGAACACATCTGTTTTGCAAGCCTATAGCAGCAGAAATCTGAGTTATGTGATGGAACTACAGATTCCACATATAACTTTTTCACTCTTTTCCCAAATAAAAGTGAAAAGAAAATATTTTGTAATACACAACCACCTTGTATGAGCTTTAATATTTCTTTTTTATTTCTACTGCTCCAAAAAATGTTTTCAAAGAGTTTTCTCTTAACTGAGTCTGGAAACCATCCACTTTTAATGAGAGCTTACTGACATCTAATTGCCATCTGCCTCCTTCAGTTTCTCTCATAAGACTGCTTCATTTTTCCTTTGTGCACTGAACCGCTCCTTTGTTGCTGCTGCAGTTTATACTCCCAAGTGAATTCTTAAGTCTTTGTAATCTAAATTTTAAGGCCTTTATTCTGTATTTCACCTCTGCCTATACCAAAACTACACTAAAAAGACTTTAGACTTAATAGCTGTCAGCTGCAGAATGTAGATGCAAGATTCCTACCATGACATGGGTGATGCTCACTGGTGTATCTGTTTTACAAATCTATTATCTTATCTGATTACACTGTATCAGAAAGACAATGCAGGACACAGCAATATGGTGTGAGAAAAGTACTGCAGCTCTCACCAATGAGTAAATACATGGTATCTTCCACAAAATTAAAACTACAGTTTTGTTGTGCAAGCCATGCCATTAATAAGGCCTCCAAAAGAGCTATCAGTGCTGCCTTGTGGTGACCTTCAGCCCCATGGTGAGTTCACCCCATCTCAGAAGCAAGGACTCTCACTGAGGGCTGAATAGGTCTTTCAAAAATGTTTGGCAAGCCTACATCTTAACATGCCTCTTGCCATTATGCCATAAAAAGCTTTTAGAAAGTCTCCAGTGAAGACCTTCCTGCTTTCCTGAAAATAATTTCTTTCAAAATTCTACTGACATTCTCAGGTTGTCTGGTTTCCTGAAGGTAAGGTTCCACTGGTGCCCCTGCATCGTGCTTTTCTTCCTTTAGAAGAAATTCACATCCTAAGATGGTGGCTTGTGATCCTTGGTCATAAGTTGATTCTCTGAGATTTTCTTCCTGGCTGAAAACAGCAGAAAGAAAAGTGAGCTATAGTAGCAGGTGCATATTGTGACCTTAGAGCCATTTCTAGTCCTTTCTTACCCAGAGGAGAGCAGAGCCACATTTCAGTGGTGCATCAGCTCATAGGCCCATCAAGTCAACCATGCCCTGATGAACATTTTAAGTCAGTCAGGCCATAAGAGGGGCATATTGGTCACTGTTAGCTTCTTAGGAACTCAGTAAGTAATTAAATATTTCATATTATTTCAAATGGATAATCCAATACACACTCCACTGTCAGGTTTTTCTTCTGAAAATGAGTTGAGGTGTAGCATAAGCCAATTGTAGATATTCTGTGTATGAATTTAATGAGATAATAAGATAGTGAGTAACACTGCACAGCTGCATTTGGGTCAATCTTAAATTAAGGTGTTTTAGGTTGTTAAGCCATTTTATTTCCAGAAAGCCACTTAACTTCTGTGGAATCAGATGTGATAAGGACTCTCTTTCAAATGATTGTGATAGTAATTCCAGTATTGTCTACAATTACTGTAGACATTTATTGTTCAGACACCTAGTGAAAATAAAGATGGGTGAAACATCTGTCCTGTGTTCAGTTTCTGATGGGCTTTTTATATCAGTGAAAATCTGAATTTATGCCTGTAAATTCAAGTTATCTCTCTGACCATTAGCTGTTTTATATCTCTGTTCATTTGAATCCCTCTGTTGTTCTCAGAAGAAAATAATCTCTATGCTGTTTGCATCTATGGCTTGAGGGGCAGTTTCTCTATTTTTAGGTACACAAGTCTTTCAAGAGCAATATGCTCTCTCTTGGTTTTATTAAGTGTTCTTGCATCAAATATAGTGGCCTTACTATTATCCCAAAGAGCTTAAGTGAGCAGAGTTCTGACTTCGTAGTATTAGGCATCAGGAATCAGAGCTGTAGTAGCACAAAATGAAATAAGGTGGGTGTTGTGCTATTTATGATCCAGGATTTCACTGTTTCTGTGGGTCTGCCCAGGGCGGGCTTGAAATTCTCTGAAGTGGTTCTGATCTACACCTCAAGCAGAGTTAAGGACAAAGGTTTTTTTTAACAACATGGAAGAAATAAGCCTTGTAAACAGTTTGCCCATTTTTCTGGCAGTTCTAAACTTTGATACTGGTAAACTATTTGTAATGTCGAGGTTTGATTTTTCTCCTGCTGAAAAAATTATATTCCTAAGAAAAGATGACTCTCCATTTGAGGTGTTATTTGGCAAAGTTCAACTTCTGTAATGCTGAGTTGGTGCAGCATAAAATGGTTGGTGCCTCTACTGCTTGTTCTTCTGTATTCCTTCTGAGTAAATTAAAGAAATAAAATTAAATTAAAATTGCATCTGAGCAGTACTGGATTAGACAATTTAATGAAAAACATAGACACCATTTCTGAAAAGCATTCAAACAGTTATCCCAGAAGGCTGTGCAATTAGTTAAATTTAAATGCTTGTCTATGGACAAAGAGGAAACACATCTTTTATGTGAAGTCAGGAATGTATATTTTTACAACAGAAATCTTAATAGATTCATTTAAGAATCACTATTGGCCCATATTTAGGTATTGCAGAAAAAGGAAAAACTACTAAAAAAAATCATATTTTACACAGAAAGGAATTGTCAATAGTGGTAATAGTAGTAGTTGATAATGGTGATAATAGTAATAATAGTGATAATAATGATGGTTTTATACAGTTTATATTGTTATATAGACATTTTCCAGTGCCTATTCTTTTTCCTGATTTTACCCTTCCACTGCCTCTCAAAACCCTAGGTTCTGTCTGGTCCTTGTGAAAATGTATAGTGAAGCAGCATCTGGAGTCCTTTGCCATGAACACCATTATATCTTGGTTTTACTCGTTCAATCTGAAATATATTTTTGTACCACAGAGTTTCCCAAATAACCCTGCCAGCCCTGCAAGCTCTGCAGACCAAAACCCTGCTTCACAGAGGCCTCATCTGGTGCTCTAGGACTTTGTTGTCATTGCAGATCATATTTTGTCTTTCACAAGACTCAATTTCTCCTAAAACATAACACAAGTTTTTCTGATTGATCATCTCTTGCTGTAACCTATTGTTAAAGTAATTTCTGTCACGTGGTATCTGATTAGGCTAAATTTTATGTCTGTGAGCAAAACCTTCAGCAGAATTTCCTTCAACTGTGGCTCATAATAAATATCTGGGCTCTGCATTGCATTAACATCTCATGGTGAAGAAGTGCAGTTCCTGTTACATGTTTGCATATTTATTGTGATAGTCCTGGACCTATACCTATGTGCTTTTCTAGTAGAGAATTCAGCAGGCACACAAATCACACCCACCTACATGCAAACAACCACACAGGAATTTCATCTTCAGGTAACAAACTACACATAAACTGGGCAAGTCTTAAATATTCCAAGTCAACAGTTTCACGTTACAGGAAGTAAATAATCAACATCCAATGTTAATTAAATAGACCTCTTGTCTGCCTGATGACACAACAGAAACACTGATGTGGTGTTGTGTCTTCATTGCATTTGAGTTTTCTTCTGCGCTAATGCCAAACATTAACGGATGTGTGTCATCCAAGCATGTCAGTACCAGTTTTTTGCAGTGTTCCCATCAAATTTTCTTCACAAGAATGTGAAGTCATATAAAGAAGATTTTCTGAGATGCTGGCAGCACTCTGGTTCCTGCTGTGCCTCTGTTTTCCCCAGAGCTTGGGGGTTGTATCTGCAGTATTGTGATTTTCTCTTGGCCATGCTGCAAGCCTTACTGCTTACATGTGAGAACATGTTCTGCTCTTACAGCTTGAACAGTGTGAGCTGTGAATCACCTGCCCACTTGGTTGTGCTGCCGTCAGTTTGCTCTGGATGGCAGTGACTATACTGTTCTTTCATGTCACATCTTGTTCAGGCAGTATGAGCTCTGCAGCAAAGCTGAGACACTTTTCTGCAAGCAGATCTTTCAATGTTTCATGTGCCACATTTGCAAGCTCACCTGTAACCACTTGCCATAAAAGCAGCACTGAATGAAGCAGCAGGTTCTCTAACAGCCTCAATACCACATCACATTTGTCACCAAGAAAAGGGATTGAATCCTCTTTCCTGCATTCCAGCTTAATGCACAAAGAGAATGTGTCTTTTTCTCTGTTGAAAGATTAATGTTATGTATTGTAAGTATCTGTTTTTCAAATGTTCACAAATTCAAGAATTTCTTAGACTTTGGAGAAATGGTGCATGTTGCACTGATGCTGTTTTTTCTAAATCATTGGGCATCTTGACTGAAGGTAAATCCAGGTTTTACAGTGTTTCTTCTAAATGTATAAAAGTACTGATGTAACATGGTCACAGCAATTGCATGACAGAAGGAGTCTAACAATGAGCACCCAGAGACAGGGCAGTAAGGGGAAAGGGTCTGTCCTTCCCCTGCTGCCCAGGGGTGCCTGATCAATGCCCTTCACAAGGGGAACACCAACTGCATCTTTTTTTGGTAGATGAGAAATTTCCATCACATAGAATGGAACTGCTAGGCTATCTTCTCTTCCTAGGTTATCTGATTTATATGTCCAATGGTAGCTATTAGAAGGCTACAGTAAAATGCAAAATAACATAGGCTTTGATCCTCCTGCAAGAGGATGTTTGGCTCCCTACAAGAAGCTGAATGAGCCCAGACACCATTTACTTCCATCCTTTTGATCTGAAGGATGCTGCTTGTTAGTGAAGGCAGCTGATTCTAATCACAGTGGAGGGCTCTCATTTGCTATTTCACACTCACACTCTTCCTCTGAAAAGGAGAAGAGGGTGGAAATACTGGGAGTGTAGAACCACAAAGTGCTTACCGGGCTGCAGTATCTGTGAGAGTCACTTGTTGGCACAGGTGATGGAGTGTCTTTTCATATTGTTCCGTGGAGAATGAGGGAGAAGAGGGAAAGGGGGAAGCAATTTTGTGGCTTTCATTGAAAAATTGTACAGGTGGTTGCAAACAGTACTTACTCATTACTTGGCAGTGAGATGACAATGGTCAGGAAATGCAGAATTTGGGAGCAGGTGGTTGACGGGACAAGATTGACTGGGGAACAAGAAAATAGAAATCCCGTTTGATCACTGCCAAATCTTTTTGCTAATGTCATTATTGACATTTGCTGCTGGATTGTTGCCAGTTCTTCAGTGAGTTGCCATCGAGGAGCTCTGTGACATCACTCTGCATCAATACTCTGTATTTTTAGTACATTTGGATATAGTTCACTTTTTCAGCTATGCATCAAAAATATAAACCTGTTGGCCTTATCTAGAAAAAACAGAGTTGACTTTTTTGTTTTGTTTTTTAGAGACAGCCATATGTCTATCTGAACCTTATTTAGAGTTCCCACAGGCGAAGTATTTTTAACTATATCAATTATAGTTGTATAAACTGTTTTGTAATGATTGCCTTGTAGCTCTTCCCTGCTGTATCAACATCTCCTTTTCCAGTCTCTTTTTAGAGAAATCATGATCTTGTTCCTGTCACCCAGAGGAAGCATTTTCAATATATTATTTGTGGAGGAGTGGGTGTTTGTAAAGCTGTATTTTCATGTGGTTCTTCTACCTACTATTGTCTAAGTATCCTGTCCAAGTAAAAGGTATATGCACATTTCTTCCTCAGCAAAGTTTTTCATTATAACAGTGAAAAGCATATGCTTTTTACTCACAGTCCCTATGAATCTCTTAAATTCATCCTCATTTTCTCTGAACATTTAAATTAAGAAAATAAAATGTAAATGAATGAAAAAAAATAAAATGGCCTGCTGCTGCTGGCCCTGATTCCACATCATAAAGTATTCTCAGGTAAGCAATCTGAGGATTTTGTTTAGCAGACATCACTTTTTATTACTAGATTCCTTTGTTTCTTACATAGTGTTTTCCACATATGTTTAATAACTTCCTTAAATACCATATAATTGCACTCTGAAGACACATGGGATTGTCTCTCATCTCTTCATCAGCAAATACTACGTTTTCCTGCAAA